ATTCATTGCATTACATGTGGATTTGCTGGTGTATCATCAACTGGAGCACCCCAGTTGATGATACACCAACAGAGCCATGCATTCTCTCTACCTTCACGAGGGAGGTTTTGGGTTCAAATCTGGTTTATAGAAGAAATTATACAAAACAATCTGATATACAGAAACAAGAGCTGCTGCCAAATAAAGGGATATTTCTGTAACAAAGTCACTGAGTCAAAACTCTGACCTCTTGTTCCACCCGTGTCTCACACATGCTCCAGAAATTTAAGCAAGACACATATGCAGAGTCTTTATAGATGTCCACAGGTATGCCACAGAGCAGAGACCACTAGCACTCCCGATACACCAATATTGCATCAACAGCCTCTCAGAAATACCCTAAAGTGGAACATAAATTTTGTCTCAGAAACCAAGACCCAGAAGTCAAATGTTGTGCTTGCACATTCTTTTGGACCAATCAAGCACAAGTTACAGAAGTAAGCCTTAAGAAATCTCAGCATTTTTTTTTTACGTCATTTGATGCAAATCAGGAACTAAAGCACAGCACACCAATCGATCCTCAAGTTTTATAGACTACACGACCAACGCTAATAAGAAGTATCAACCTGCCAGCTTTCACTGCAGAAAGGCCTATTTCAATAGTGAAAGGCCATTACAATTTTAAAACGACTCAAAAAAGCCTCTGCTCCATCACACTTAAGACACAGTAGATGCCTAGCTCTTCTGGACATCCTAAGGCCCAGGATGTATCCAGCTCTCCAGCACACTTAAGCGTGCTTTTCAGATCACTGCAAAGCTATTAAGCTACTGAGCAAAGCTATTCATATTATACTTGCATTTCCTCACCAAAAGCAAAGTGTTAAACAATTTGGAGACAGCTGTTGCACTTTATGGACCTGTCCACCATTTGTTTCAAATAGAAATATTTGAGTGAGAAGGAAAACAGAAACCGCAACAACTTGTCTTCTTAAAAATAACAGAAAGCTTATCTAGAAAGAGACGAAGTTCAAAATATTTCTGTTACAGTTTTGTACTGGTGAATCAGAGCACTGTGCTAAACACTGCACACATAATAAGTAAGTTTTCATTTTAAACTCCACAACCGGGTACTTCTAAGTAAACAAAAACATGAGTTGTTTTTCCTTCTATATCCTCACAACCATCTGACAACAAACCAAGCCCACTCAGCCTTGCTTTTAAAAGCATGATTCTCTAATGTAACTGTACTTCTGGGAATACATTACAGCTTCTATGAAATGTTTTGTTACACCTGTGTATCAATTGGCCATGTAAATACAGCACGTGACCACACGCAAAGTAGTCTTTTCGTCAGTTTTAGTGAGCTAAAACTTTATTTGTTGTATGAAGTTAATTAAGAAAAGACAATCTATGGATGTGTAAGACGGGTATTTTCCTCTTTTGCAACCAAAATTTTCTGGAGGAAGAGTGATGAGGCTTTTGATTAACAACATGATACACACCTTTAATATTTAAGATACTAAGACAACATCAGGAACACCTGCTTATAAACTCAGTTCCAGTCACACAGCTGACAGGTAATCCATGCCAGGTTTTTCCTAGGCCTACCTTTGGCCTTTGCCACTACTGAGTATTTTCCACAACTTACACACATCCAATCCTTATCCTTTTCAGACCTGCAAAACTTACATTCTCTTAAATTTTATCCACCCATCCCTGCTGCTGGGGATGACCACAACCGTTAAGTTAGTCAGGAGACTATGTCTGACACTGTGCACAACTCCTCTTACCAAAGCAATCTACTGGTGATGGTAACGTTTTTCACGTAAGGACATATTTGCAGTGAGCAGCAGGGAAGGCTGATTGGACAAAACGAGCGCAGCACAACAGATGCCTTATTAGTACCCTTTAGATACAACATGCTCATTCAGCCACAGTCAGGCATTAAAACCATGTCACTAACATCTACTCAGGAAAACAAATGGCCAACTAATTTAGGGTGGGGTTTTTTATTTACAAAATAATGCTTCCCGTATCCTGTTCTCTTGATACAGTGTTGTTTTCCTGCTGTAAAATCAGGTTAGCATAGCACTATACTGACTCATCTATAAACAGAAAGTAAAAGCCAAGAAGGTGGAGAGGGGAAAGGACCTCAGCACAAAGAGAAACCCCACAAAAAATAAATTTGATCATCACTGATCCTGATACTTCAGGGCCACTGCTAATGTGCCAAAGGCTGACAGCTCTCACAAAAGTATACAAAATGAGTAAAATCAAGCCATGTCACAAAACCAACCACCTAAGGTTTCCTGCCAAAATCTTAAAGTTAGCTCTCCATATAAAACAACACTACCTCATTTTCCCCAGACAATAAGGTTGCTTATGGTAAACACAGGCAATATTAAAAAAACATATTCCCATGCTGCAGCAAACCTCAAATTAATGAATGGGAGTGTGTGTGTATGGGGGGTGTTTATGGTGGTGGTTTTTGGGAGGGTGTGGATGGGAGGGATTGTGTAAGGGTTTTTCTAGCTGAAAATAATTTAGGTTCTTGGACTTGGTTGTTTATACTCCAGTCTGACTTACACTGGAAGTGCAACCCAAGTAACTCATCTGATGGGATGACATGATAGATGGTGTCAAGGGTTGTTCAACAATGATCTCTCGAAAAAGTTAAACATTGATGTACTCTAGGCAAGTGCAGTTAAAGCTGCTGGGAATTTGATTGCTATGGTACAACACGAGGAGCTGGGACAAAGGAGGGAGAAGCCGGTAAGGCCACGGAGCATTCTTCGTACATAGCATAATAAGGTGACAATCAGGTTTAGACAAGTTTAAAATACCTTTTAACCCAAAAATACATCTTTGTCTTCCAAAAGTTATAAAACATAAGAGTTTGCAGTTTCACCTTCAAACACAGGCATTTATTCTCTCTGAAGGTTTAGTTATCATTGGTACTAATTACCATGGATTAAACCACAGTGTTAAAAATTACATTTTTTAAAGTTTTAATGGTTAAGAGCATCAACTGAAGATGGGTCTTAACTTTGCGTACATAAAAATAAACTGTCAGAAAACAGACCTGTGAAATCTTTCAGCCTCCTCAAGTTCCAGCAAAAAATTAAGGGTTTAAGGACATATTTTCTGCAATATTCTCAGAGACCGATAAAATGACTAAAGAAACTGAAATCCAGTTTTCCTCATTATCTAGACTAAAAATGGAAATAGGGCATAACTAATGAGAAGTAAACTGATTTTTCAAATCACTTCACCTCTAATAACCCATGATAGTAGCAATATATGCTCACAACGTGTTGAAGTTTGCAGCACCTGTGTAGTTTCAACAATCACTTAACCATTCCAACATCATTCCGAATTATGGGCTCACAGTATACCACTATTTCCCTTCTCAACATTTAAACCCATCTTAATTCATTCAAGAACTCCATTAGTTGTAGAAAAATAGGAACTGATGAAAACTGCTATTACAGGGGGTGATAAAAGCTAAATGACTGGGGAAATTATGCAAGGCAAAAAAAAGGCAATTAATTTCTTACACAATTAAGAGTTTAATTAGATTATTTATTTTAAATGCATTTATTTAAGTTAATAGAAAGCTTTACAATAGACTTAACTCCTATTAAGTTTCAAACAATACAAGAGCAGGTAACACCCATATTTGATCAGAAAACATAAGTCAGCTATGTCAATAACTTGGTAAGCAGCAATATTTAAAATTGGGCTCCAATTTATTGCTTCACCTTCAGTAAGAAGGGGAAACGGCATCACGTAAATGTGAAGTTCCTGATCTGTGATGGAGGTTTATCCATCACACCGAACAATGCTACTCAGCACTTCCTGAATGAAGACACTGCAAAAATGTCTTCTCCGGCAGAGACTGTTAGCGGTAGCAGTGATAACAGTCCACAAACACAAGGTCTCGGATAGAGCTGTATGCACGAGAGCTTGCGAGCCTCTCAGCTGTAAACTAATTGAAACGCGTGGGGATGTCCGTTGGGTTTTGGCATAAAAAGTTAAAACTGGAATCAAATGCTGTTCCTGCCCCTAAAACTTTATGTTGATGTTTGTGGTTTTATAATCACGTTTATTCTCTGAAGGGATATCTCCGTGCTACAACTGTAAAATTCACATGAAAAAAAAAGCTGATGACAGCTACATGTGAGGGTGCAGGCGGAAGCACGTTCTCCCAAAAGCTGTGCGTGAGGATGGGGATAGAAGTGTGTTCTCCCTTGACACAGATGTCTGCTCATCAACCGACCTGTATTTTTCCCCTCATTTAATTCCTCCAGGGCCACTTTTACCAAGACAGCAACACATAACCATAGGATCAGATTCCTCATGTCCGTCTGCCAGTCCTGGGCTTGGTTCAGTGCACTGGGATTTTGTTCAAGGAAATGCCTGAATATGTAAGCTTGCCAGTTTGTGGAGCAGGTCGCTTGCCTGCTTGCTCCTTTCCATAACCAACAAGCTCCTATTTGGCTGTGTGAAGGCAGGACAGCAAGGAGACCAAGGTCAAACCTAGCAATGCCCGAGGTAGCGTGTGTGACAGATGATAAACAGCGAGGAGGCATGCATGGGAGGAGAGTCTGATGCCCTCGAAAGCAAGCCAAACTGATTACTATTAAGAAAAACAACTACCGGCTGTCAGATCTCATGCTGCTTCTATGTTACACGCATTTCCCACCTCTCTGTATATTTCAACTGTAAATTCTCTGGTAAGGAAACTACATCTTCCTCTGCATTTTCGAAGTTCATGCTGGTTATTGCTGTAAGCTGGAGGATATCAAGAATGCTGTCAAGCACACAGACTGCAGGAATAAGAACAGATTCCACTTATTTCTCTCAAAATTAGAGCTGTCTCACGGATGACTCCTAAAACTTGCTTGCAAACTATATATGAATCAAAACAGACTTCTTAAATACATATTCATTTAACCTCGTAATCGAAACTACAACCGAGTTTCCCAAGAGCTTTTCTTTCTCAGCTGAGAGCTACATACCTCTCAGATTTCTGGGATGTATCTGCTTTGTCCGAGGCATTTTCCTCTAATCTCATACACCACTTTCTCCTCTCAGAAATGGAAAGTACAGCAAGCAGAGAGATGGCAGCTCCATAAACTTGTCAAAGGGGTCAGTTAATCCGTATGCTAAAAAAAGAGAGAAAAGTTATGAGATGTATGCATTAGTAAGGAAAACAAAGACACCTATCTGCTCCCTTTCATCCTCCAAGGGCTATGGAAATTAGCGATGAGCAAGAAATGTTTCTGTACCTATCCTTTTACGGAATGAAATGTTCCAATATCTGAAGAAAACTACACGAGGGTGAAACTCCTTTTGGGATTACTCAGGAAACATGAGAAAACCAAGACACTTTTCCACATTTGTCAGCTGTTTTCTAGCCAGAAAACGTCTTCCAACAACTTGTGTCCCATGCAAATAAAACCAGAAGACTAAACAAAATTCGACATCAGGCTTTAAGATACAGATCTTCATCTCAGAGGGGGGGGAGAGCAGAGCGGAGGGCAAACACACACTGAATCAGCAATAATCCACCCTATCTGTAACATCAGATACCTCTGGGTTCCTTACAGGGAGCATGCAAGTGCGGAAGAACTCCCCATGGGATACTTTTGCTGAAATATCAGCATACAGCAGAGAATCACACCAGCTCTTCACCCACCTGCAAGCTGTTGCACTGCAAGGTTTTGCCCTGGCGTGGTTCTACGTGGCCGCAGCAGCCCCTGCATTTACAGGAGGCTGCAGCCAGCAAAGTCCCGGTATAGATAAACCCCACAGCCCAAGGAATTCCCTTAATAGCCCAACACACAGATTTGCTGCTAAACTGGCACAAACCTAGTTTTTGCATCCCCAAACCTATATCTTTTTCAAGATTAACGAAACTTTCTCACTTTTCAGACGTTTTTATGATTTGCTTCTAGTTTAAGAAGCATAATTTTGTTTAGTTTCTGAAATCCTACAGGATGTGAAATCCCCCACAGAACTATGGCAAATTACTTAAGCACAAGACGTTAAAAAAGAAAATGACCGGTGTAATTCCACTCTTACAGCTAAACAAAATAAACCACTTTTCACTTTTTTTAATGGTATACTACCTCATGTTAACAGATTTTTTTTTTTTTCAGTAAACACTAGGAAGACATTTTAAAAATTCATATAAAGTTCAGAATGGCCCCTAATACGAACAAGTTGATTAAGGATAGCTACTTGAAGGAAGAAGTATGTAGAATTTTTAGCATTTGTTGTAAGTATTAATTTAGGGGGGTTGTTTTTAAGACAACCGTGATTTTGTAAAAATGGAATTCAAGCCCACTTAAAATAGACTACTTGCAACCACCCCTTTAGTCTACAGACTGTTGAGGAATATAATCATTAATTTTTAATGTTTCTTTTGTCTGTTGCTGCATAAACGGACTCAAACAGGAGAAGAAACTGACTGCAACTGACACAAAGGAGGGCTGGAAAATGTTATTCTGACTGATGGTTCTTCGCTAGGATATAACTGCACATTAAAGGAAAACCAAGGAAAAATCCAAAACGGAGCACACAGCCTGTCAAGTCGTTCCGTTAGCTCATACCACTCTATCTGCAAGGACAACAAAAAGATTTGGGAATTAAATAAAACCTTATGCTAACAGGTCCATTTTCCTGGTCTTGGCCACAAACTGTAAATGCAGAGAAGTGGCTGTATTGCTTGAAGCAACAAGCCCTCCCTGAACACCGGCCCCCCTTTACTCTGGGTGCTGCTGGGCTGAGGTTTTTAAAGATTATAATAAACACCGTCGCTTCTCTACGCAAGTTATTTGGGGCACGAGTTTGAAATCCCCCGGGTATCAGTAAATCATAAGCACCTCCCGATGCTGCCCTGCAGCACAAATGACATCTTATTTACGCTTTAAAACCACAAATTTCCCCCGCTCGCCAGCAGGACTCATTCTTTCGGGGGAAGAGATGGCCGTGTGAAAGCCACGGCAGAATCATCGTGCAGGACCCACGCGAAAAGTCATTCCCTCCTTAATTTGAACAAAAAGGCAGAGGGAGAAACGGGCCTTTGCAAACGCAGCGGTCACATCCTTCACCCACCACCCCCCCACGCCCCCCCCT